TTACTAAAATAATAAATATTCCACATATCAGATTCATCCTCCTACCCTTCTTTTTCTTCCTCCCTGTAGGACACTATCTCAGCATACTCCTCCAGGCTTCTTATATACTAATTTCTATTCTAGTATTATAAAACCCTTCTGAGTATTCTTTGAATGTGTCTGGTGGTTATTATTAGGACTCAAACAGATGTGCTAAATTTGTGTTGTCAGCATAGAGCCTCACTTGATTTCAACTTAGCACATGTGAATGGATTCTATTTGTACATTTATCTACACATTTAAGTATTTGTATATCTTTTACTTTACAATTCATGTTGTTCTACACTGAGCGCTATCTGGACACTATCAGCAACAGTCCTACGCCATGCTCCGATACTTTCAATAAACATGGACTAACAAAGCTTCTGGATTGCTGGTTAACAAGAAATACTGGGAGGGCCAAAAATTTGTTATGATGAAGCCTCCTATTAGCTTTTACTTCCTCACTGCTATTTCCTTTGAATGTTTGCATGTGCTTGACAGCAATTATCTCCAATGTGAAACCCATGAAGTCAGGCTTGCTGTCAAATCCTACACCTTACTGTACATTGGTAACATACTTGTGTTCAAAAAATGGTGTGTGAACTATGTGCTTCCGCCCCCCCCAAGAAAAAAAAAAAACAAAAAAAACAAACACAGAAATCCCTTGTCTAGCAACTCTAAAGAGGGAAATACCTGTGAAAAGAGTGCAGAATTTGTGAACTTCTGAGGTATTTGTTCATACAACAGGCTTAGTAAAGAAGAAACTTTTTCACTGCTTTGTCCAAAATACAGAGTCTGACTGGACTCTTATTTCTGCATGATGTGTGACTCTAATTACATCACTTTACTCAGTGCTGGAAGAGGCCAAGACAGCATATGGAAAAAATCACTAGTGCAGATCCCCTCTGCCAATAATGCATGTCTGGTAGGGAGTGTTCAAGAAGCAAGTTGGAGATAAAATGCCAGAAAGCTGATCTATATCCTCTGCTCTCTGTAAAATAAGATAGTATGGCTTAAATAAGGACAAACTTTCCCTAAGTTTTTAGACAGCATTTAGTTATTGAATCATGAGAAGACCAAGCAAGTTATTTAACACCAGGTTTTAATTTTTAACAGTAAAAATTCATCTATTTTCATTGAAACATTAATGTACTACATTTCCCTGCTCTTGCTAACCTTCAAAACATTGTCTGTTCCTGTATTATTTAGATGATTATTACAGTGAACTATTAGCCATTGACCCTTTGTTTATTTTAAAATGTAAACCTACTCCAGGATGTAGCAATTATGGATGCTCTGTTATGAGCAGCATGACTATCAACGGCGGTTGTTATGACAAACAGCTCAAGCTCTGTTAGCCTACACGGATGGGAATTCAATTAAGGGTGTCTTTTATTATGTGATATATACTGACTATCACAGTAGTTGAGAAAAGACATAAGTGCTTCATTACATGCCCGTTCGAAGCATGCATCAATTATCAGTAAACTATCTTATCTTTGTCCTGGTAATATTGAACTATATTTGGACTATAGAGGATACTCACTAACATAAAGATGAGATTTAAGAATGTCAGTCTCCTTGCTCTCTTGACATTCTTGGACAAATAACCAGCGATCTGTCCAACTAGTACACACACTACCAAAACATACTTTTTTTTCCTAACAAGGTTTAAATTTTATTTATGATTGTTATGAAAATTAGAGGAAACCACTTAACTTTTTTTTTTTTTTTTTTAAATTCTAGTACTTTAAAAGTCAATGCCATTTCAGCAAAAGTCAAAAATAAATCCAGATTATATTCTTGAAAGGATTAAGCTGCCAAAAAGTAACATATATGACAGCCCGATCTAACTTGCTAACGCATGTTGATTATTCCTCGGAGATAAAAAGTAATTTTTAGGGCAATTTACATGGCAGCCTAGACACTTACATTATAGAAGTATCTGAAGAAAAATGTTTATCCAGACTTACTTTTATTTTACTGATACATTTCCGGACAAACCCTCTTTACTGCTGGCATAAGCAGTTTTGGCAGATGAGCCTCACAACATTCAAGGCTCTAAACTTGACCATCATGAAAACAAGTCCTTCTTTCCACCCCCCCGTTAAGAACTAAGCATGACTAAATAGACTGAACAAAAATTTTATAATAGTTCCATTTCTGCAACATTGCAAGAAATGTTCACATCCAGCCTTATTCAGGACTTATGTCCAGAACTTCTAATTGCCTACTAGTAGTGATCAGGCAAGAACTCTCATATGTGCAGTGTTTGTTTTCCTAGTTTTATCCTAAGTGGAGAAGTGTGTGTAGTAAAATGTTTCTCTGGTACTTTTTAAACTGCATTGCTTGGGAAGAACAGATTTATGAAATCTGTCTGTCCACTCCTTCAGCTTCTGAACCTGTAGACCTATTTGAACAAAGCCAGCCATAACAATAATACCTCAGCGATGCTACAATCCTACAAAATCTCCATTGGACAAGGGACAGGAATCTACAGTTCTGGGCTCCCCAGTACAAGAGGGACATAGAATTACTGGAGCAAGTTCAGAGGAGGGCTATGAAGATGAGAGGACTGAAGTACCTGTTGTATGAGGCCAGGCTGGGAGAACTGGTCCTGTTTAGCCTGGAAAAGAGAAGACTGAGGGGAAACCTCATCAATGTATATAAATATCTGAGGGGAGGGTGTCGAGACAATGGAGCCGGTCTCTTTTCAGTTGTGCCCAGTGACAGGAAGAGAGGCAGTGGGCACAAACTGAAGCACAGGAAGTTCTGGCTGAATATGAGGGAGCACTTTACTGTGAGGGTGAGAGGGAGTTGGACTAGGTGGTCTTCAGAGGTCTCTTCCAACCTCAGCCATTCTGTGATATGACTACCATCAATGATGGAGACAGTGTGAACTCCATGCTGACAGCATTTTCAGCCATAAGTTCTATAGGGAGAAACAAAATTGAAAAACAGGTCCCTGTTCCTGTTACAACATTTGAAAAGCTGACCGCTAGACATGCTTGGAGGTTATATGGGTTAGTGATATGGTTTAGTGGTGGACTTGTTAGTGTTAAGTCAGAGGTTGTACTAGGTGATCTTGGAGGTCTCTTCCAATCTAGATGATTCTGTGATTATGTTATACAAAGAGCAGCTCACCCCAACCCTATTGCCTACACACAGAACCTTGATTAGGCTTTGACTGCTTGCTTAACAGTGCGTCTGCATCTTATTCAACTAAAACAGTGACAGATGGCCATATAGCTACATATTTCCACTACCCAAAGTGAGTGTGAGCAATGAAACTAGGGAGGAAGTTGATGAGTTTGGAGCTGTCTGTAGGTCGTGCTAGAGATGGTCACACATTCTGGGATTCATCTAGAATATACAGCTGTCAGTCTACCAGGGGAAAGGCAGTTCTACAGGCTGCCTCCCAGGCTATGTGGTGAAATGAAGGTAAGACTGAGAGTTTGTATTGCTATACATTTATTTTGGATGGCAATTTCCTATTTTTGAAAAAAACGTGGAACCAAACACCATCTTTTTGTGCCACTACTTTTCTTCCTAACTCTCACGTGTCCTCTCTTCCTTAACATACAATCAGTTTAAACACACTGCAACTCTTCCTCCCACCACTTTTGTTCTTCTCTATGTATTTCTGTAGCATTCAACAGCTTAATACATGGTATAGGGGAACCACAACAATGTGATAGCTTTTAAATCACGCCCATCAGGATGATACAGATCCCAAGTTATGTAATCTCCATCTAGCATATTTCTCATGAAGGTCCAGAGCTGGAAGTCATTTATAGGACATTACTAGTTGATCTTTCCCCAGAGAGGGTAGGGAGTAGTGGTCTGAGCAACAAATACTGCTTGAACAGCTAATGCTTCCTCCTATGCTGACTTGAAATCTGACTTGGACTTCTGGTGAGCTGCTTCCACCACAGAGCTGTTGGACAGCAGCTGCCACTGTTGGAGGGATATGGTGTCCCTTTCTAGCTACAGCTAACTGTCATGGGCAGAAGCCCTTGTTCCGGCAAAACCCCTATTTCTATCCTCTGACCTCCTCAAAGTGACAGCAAACCTGGGGCATAGTCAGGAAGGTGCATGAAGTAGCAACTGCTGCTAGTGGATAGGAGAAATACAGCTGCCTGAGAAGAGGAGGAAAGAAGATAAATTGCTGGTAGGTATGAAAAAGGAAGGTGAGGAGGAGAGAAACTTTGCATTTCAATTGCTAGACCTACTTATACAGAGAGAACATTAACTTCTGCTGTAGAGAGAGTATGGGCAAGGACAGAGTAACTCGTGTATAACAACTCATATCCAGGTGAAGTTAATCCTGGCCATAAAAATGCCAGATGTTCAAACAGTTGTAGTAAAGTATTTACAGGGACAACTATTTTTATCATGTCCTAGTAAGTCTTAAGGAGAATAATTGTGTGGCAAAGTGGAGCTGTAAGCCTGAACTGAAGCTCAGACAGATGTTGGAGCATTCGTAAAACACCTGACTGAGGAAACTCAGAGAGTCACTTGTACCTACACTTAATGATACCTTTATCACAGGTTCCCCTTTCCTGAATTCTTCCTAGGGAAACATTACCCAAAGAAAATGTACAAGTCTGTTAAAAAAAAAAAAAAGGAAGAAAAACACTTTCAGCACTTCTCTTCTCACTACAAATCAGATGTGAAACCCTGGCTTCTGATCTGTGGTGGTTTGTGACTTTTTTTTATATTTATTGCAGTTGGGATGGTATACAAAGACCCTTCTTTCAGCATCAGTTTACAACAGGGCAGTTACAGTGAGGGTCAAAAGCTGTGTGGCACCACTGGTCCAGATAGGGGTAAATGCATTCAACAAGTTAGTTACTGTCAAAGAGAATGTCAACTTAAATAATTTAAGTAATTCACCTATCCAACTCACTCTTCCAGCTGCAAGCAGTATATACAGTAAGAACAGCAACTTAAAAAAAAAAGAAAAGACAAAAATCTACCAACTAGGCTGAGCTGCCATCCTCTCCATGTAATCCTTGGCCATGCCAATGGCCTCAATGTTGTCCGGGTAGAGCACGCAGAACATTGCCAGGGCCCCAAGATTGTTGCCGTAAATTTCATTCCACCGAGCGCTGAACTCCTTTGGGTCCCAGGGAGGCAGGTACTCCAGGGGATTGGAGAGCATCGTTTGCACTGCCTCGATCAGCCGAGCTGCAATGTGCCGGTGAGTGGTGGCTGCCTGGAGACGCAGACCCTCCACATCCCCCTTGGAAAAGTAGAGCATGGGATAGCTGTCATAGTTGGCGTTGACAAAAGGAACCATTGCATCCGGGTTCTCCCTGGCTCCGAAGGCAAAGGCAAAGCAAATTGTGTGTATGAAAAACACACTTGGGGCTCCCCGTGTGTGAGTCCTCATTGTGGCATCAGATCTCCAAGCCCCAGTGGGAGCCAAACCATCTTTGAAATATCCTACGGAAGACAGATGAGAAGGAGTTAGAAAAATAGTCTGTGAGGCAATATAATTAAGGATGCTTTCTAGGAAATATGATTCCATCTAGACTTAAAAAATAATAATAATGGATTGTCCAACTGGCTTTCAAATCATTTCTATATGAATCATTCAGACAAAACACCTACTGAGCAATTTATCCTAAAGGAAAGCCTGTATGCTTTGCAGAAAGCCTCTCCCTCCCACGTCTTTCCCTCCAGTAGCTGATACAAGGCAAATGAACACACTGACATCTCTTAGTGCTCTGAACTCACCAAGATTTCAAGTAATTGCAGCAATGCCTAATTCAAAGCACTGCTGACTGTACTGGCAAGCAGAGACAGCACAGAGGGAAGGAAGGAGGCGTGGAGACAGCCACTGAGATGGTGCTAGCAGCAGCCAAGCCTGCGTGCTGCATTGGCTGATGTTAACAGCTGGAGAATGAAGGATGTGGAATGCTGGAGTTTGTGCAGGGGTCATTTTATACTGTGCTCAGGGCCTCCAGTTCTGACACGTCCTCACTTAAAAAAAAAAAAAGAAAAAACAAAAACACCCGCACATCTAAAAAAAACAACAAACATACACTACCACCTCAATATTATTATTATTATTATTATTAATAATAATATCCGACATGACAAAAAGAAAAGAGAAAAAGAAACAGGCTGAACCTTAGAAAAACAGCTGAAATACCTAGCCTCTAGGGCATTTAGGTATTTTGTATTATTTTTTTTTCCTAAGGGGCTCACCATTTTGCATTTGGAGATTTACTGCCAGCTACCAAGAAGGCTGAAGGTTAAAGTACATTTTTTTCTACATACACAGCTTCTCAAAATGTGCTCAAGTGACAAATCTATACTGAGGTTAAATGCAACTATTTAAATATAGTAAGCTACTTCGAAAGAAATACCAACTATCTAGCCTGAAGTCTCAGATAAAACATGGCCAGGATCCCCCTGAGGAAAGCCAGCAAATTCCTCAAATTCTTCACAGGGGAAAGGTTACAGAAAGCAGACCCAAGAGAGACAGTTTTATGTAAATAATGAACAGTAGTTTTCAATTATTAAAAAGAGAAATAGACAGAAAGAAAGAAAACCTAAGAACAATAACAATCTTTTTCCATGGAAAACTTGTTTCATAGGATTCAGTAATAAAACTCTCAAGAAGCTGAAGTACAAAGCAACCTTTTATTTCTTCCCCACAGCTCTGAACATATAGATGCCAAAATTTCCTAACAGAAACTTAGGCTGCCGAAACCTTATTTAGAGACCCACATCCTGATTCTACAATGTCATTAATACATGCAGAAACAACAAGATAACCTTGTTGGACTGTGTCCCTCAACAACCACTAGGTACACAGAACCTCTAGTTGTTCATGTTCAGCTCCCAAAATTAATTTGGGAGAAAGTAATTTTAGCCAAGAAGTACATCTTTTCTTGTGCATTCCTTCTTAGGGTAAAAATAATATTGTACTCTATAACTGCCTACTTTTTTGCATTACAGTGCATAGCATAATTGCTTTAACAGAGAGTAATGGAAGATGACATTTTCACAGTATGCTAATGCATTTTGCAGGTAAGTTTTGCCCTTTTTTGGATGTAAACCAACCATTACAGGACACATTACACAGATCAAAGAGTGGTTTAGTTGGTAATACTTTTACTATGTCTACATATCCTCTCACCACATATGCACACACAAAGAAACATGCACGGTAGTTTATCCAAACAGACTCTAGCCCCTTGGTATCCTCATCTGTAAATAATGGAATCATACAAAAGTATATTTTGAAATGAAGGAGCTAAAAAGCTGCCAGACCAGCACATCATGTTTAAAACACAATACATTATTATTATTTTTTACCTTGTATATTAGAGGCAACCACCAAACCACAGTGTTTGGCCTAAAAATAGGATAACTAGAAAATGGGTATATCATATACTCATAACTAGCATACACAGAATGAGGGTATGGAAAAGTCAATAGACAGTGACAAAAGCAAGACTACAAAGTCATTCTTACTTATTCGTGGTCAAATCATACTAACGTCCCTTCTATGATATAAAGACAACAGCCCATGGTGGCAGCAATTTAGCAAGGCCTGTGAGCCCTGCTCCTCAGCTTCGCAGGGCTCAGCACCATGAGACTAGTGGCTGGAGGAAGCAGCTAATAAGGAGCCCACCTTCCTTCCCATGCAAACCTCTGTGGAGGCACCAGCTACAACCACATGGATGAAATCACTGAGGTGAGGACCCAAAATGGCATGAGTATCGCCCCAAAGATTCTACAGAGGATGAGAAGATTTAACACAGAAGATTTCTGTGTTTTCTCAGCTGTGATGCCCTTAAGAGCAGGACCAGGAAAATTAATAATAAGAATCACAAAGCTCCAAATATAATAGAAGTGTGGATGTCCACTATCACCCAGATAGCAAGGAAATACAGACTATGTGCTTACAGACAGCCCAGACTAACCAGTCCCAAAGGGATTACAAGAAACTAAACTGCCTTGAACCACACACTCAACTGAGGACTTCCCTGACTAGAACCAGACCTGAGCATGCACTGCACTGATTTACTGACTTGTTCCAGTAACTCCACAGGGCTAAGGGGTATGTTTGATCATTCTCACTTCTATAATTGTTTAGAAGCTAAATTGGTTTATAAGACATCTCCAAAAACATTTCAAAAATTATCAGGTGAGAGAGGCTCCAGACTGCAAAAGAACCAAAGCACCTCCAATAGGAGAACCCGACAAAAGCCAGTAACATTTAGGGACTATCTAAATTTCTTTACAACGGTATGTGTACCATTAGGTGGAATAACACCAAACCACCAAAGCATAATGCAGATTGTGTGTGTTGAACTCCATATTTTGATGTTCCCTCAATTAACTTACTTGCATATTAAAACCTGAAGAAAAATACACCATTATTTGGAAATGTACACATAAAACCCGATTATCGCCATAGCTTAGGTGAACCCAAACATGGATAGATAACTGGCCACATAAATTCCAGCTTACCAGTTGTGAGTGAAACTGCAACAAATTTGTTCAATACACAGGGCACAAACGTAAGGGAGCTTGGGCTTTCTGATCACTTAAATCTCACTCACAATACTATTTTTTTTTTCATTAAAAGAATTTCTTGTTCTCATATTACACTACTTCATTACCAACTGAATTTTCCAAGAAAAACTTTACCAAGCAACTCAACCTTCTCTGAAACTTTTTTTTTTATGTATTATTATTATTCAGTTTGGAAACCTCAACCTGATAAAATATTAAAAATAAGGAGAGTGAAGGATGTTTGCCTGCAGAAGAAAATGTTAATATACCATGTGCTTTGAAAGGTTGTCACTCAGTCCTAGACTGAAAGAGCATTTGGCATGATTTCCACTCCATTGCCAGCAGAAACAAACAGTAAAGAACATCATTTATTCTAGAAGAATACAGACTAAATCTTAACTATTTCAATTCTCCCCATTGCATCAAAGAGTGGATGTTCAACTGGAGAAAAAAAACAGGAATTGTTAAACTAATGCTACTAATTGAACTGGACATTGGTATATACACAGTAGGTTCACCAAATAAACACTGTTTAAAGGAAAACCTAGGCCCTGTTTACTCCAGCTACTTATACAATGAAAGACAGCACCAGCAGCGAGAAGGTTGGAGCAGGAGAAGGGGGAGCGGAGAAAGAACAGTGTGGTTGGGACCACCAGCCAGCACAGCCATCCTCAAAGCAATCTGATCTTCTTGTGGAACACTAAAAAAAAAAAAAAAAAAAGCCATTTGGAGAACCGTGGTTTTCTGCGGTATCAGTTCTGAAGAGCACTATACTTTGTGCATGATTTTTGCTGGGGCAACACTTTTATCACTTCCTAGAAGAAAGAAGTCACAGGTGTCTCTGGTAGCATTTCTGAGACCAGCCCATGCGTCACCTCTCAAATGGTGCTCTCATCAACTTGTATATCCAACATCAGAAAAGGTAGTATTTTAGTATTTGGGATTGCTGGTGATTAAAATTTCCATGAACAGAAGGCATCACAACACCATGGATTATTCAGGTTTCTGTATGAGAGCACTTCCCCAGAGCCAGATCTGGGACACGTAAAACCACACCTGCCCACTCAGTCCCACCGGGTATGACTGTCACAGCACAGAGCTCTTGCCTCACCTACGCCCACTGAGGCCATGGGCCCTCCTCCACCTCATGGTGGAGGACCAGCATATATAAAATTGAGTTTATCAGCTGGAAGTAGTGATGTTTTAAAACCACAGTGCTTATAGCAATTGAGGATTTATTTTGTCAAACAACGTCAGTTTTATCACTGATCAGAATATTTTGCAATTGTATTTAAAAACAAGAGAGCAACCAAGTCACCTACTGAATCCAATGACATTTAAGGACAAAACAATGCAGACTAACCCCATGAAAACAGAGTGAAGGGGTCAAGAGACCAATTCCTGTATGTTGCCATTCAGTTCCTACTGACTCATAGAAAAATCTGAGCGCAAAATTAGGCAGCACAGCAGGACCAAGAAAAGTATAAACGTTGTGCTGCAGCAATCACAACAAATCTAGTGTCCAAACTCCCAAACTATACAGTTCCCACATCAGCAAGTACTCCAAGTCCCTTTCAAAGCAGCTGGGCTGGAGACCAGTGCAGGAGAACCTCACATTCCAGAACAAGAGCAGTTGGGAATCCTCCTTCCAGTCTCCTTCTGAGCAGCCGGATAAAAGCAGTTTCTATCTGTCTCTGCAGTGAAAATGCCGGGAAGGTGTAGAATCACTGCTTACAACTTGAAAATACCTATTATGACCTTAACCACCAGGGGACATTACTTCACTTCTTCCTCTGATTTTTTCCACTATGAGAAATATGCTACATTGCAATTACATAATGTCAAAAGTATTTAAAAGCTTATATACTGAAGTCTTAAATATGATTCTGAATCAGATCTACAATAAAGAA